AGAGAGAGAGAGAGAGAGAGAGAGAGAGAGAGAGAGAGAGAGTTGTCTTCATGGGAAGTTGAATACTTAGTAATGTTCATAGAATGTCTATGAACACTGTTGCTAGCCGTCTTCCTCAGTGGGCAGGTGAATGAAATAACACACCTGCATTATTCAAGGTTCTCTACCAGAAGAGGATTGATAGAATGAATCTCTCCATGTTTGTAGGAAGTGGATTCATTAGAATGTCTCACAAGCAGTGGTCCAGGTAGTCCAACAATGGCTGCCTACCAATGGAAATTTGAAGAATACAGTAGTTGTTCAGTCCATGAGGCTAGATGTCTTAGCTGGTCTTCAGTATACATCAAAATTCAAAAGAGGTAGGCTCTCATGCTAGTAAAGGAGTGAACTTGGTAGTCAGAATTAGGGAAAGCAGGGAAAGAGAGAGAGCTTCCTTCTTTGATATCATTTATAAATATCAGGGGCTCTCAGAAGGTGCAATAAAGACTAAAGGTGGATTTTTTTTTTTTTTTTTTTTTTTGGTCTTTTGAGACGGGGTTTCTCTGTATTGTTTTGGAGCCTATCCTGGAACTTGCTCTGTAGACCAGGCTGGCCTCGAACTCACAGAGATCCACCTGCCCCTGCCTCCTGAGTGCTGGGATTAAAGTACTGCCACCAAGCAGGTAAAGGTGGATCCCACCTCAAATGATCCACATTAAATATGGGTCTTTAATTTCAAAACCTTTAAGAAAACTCTCTCTTTCCCCAGGTGTGGTGGCACATGCCTTTAATCCCAGCAGAGCCAGGTGAATCTCTGTGAGTTAAAGGCCAGCCTGTTGGTCTACAGAACAAGTTCCAGAACGGACTCAAAAGCTACACAGGGAAACCCTGTCTTGAAAAACAATAGAAAAGAAAAGAAAAGAAAAGGAAAGGAAAGAAAAGAAAACTCTGTACCCAACTCTTTGGGTTTTAGTTAATTCCAGAGGTAGTCAGTTTGACTACCAAGAAGAGCCATTACAGCAGCCAACACAGAAGAAGTGAGAACGATTTCTTACCTGCAGGAGGCAAGTGGAGCATAGGAGTTATTTCCAAAACATGCTTTTCCTAAACAAAGGAAGCATGTAGATTTTACTTAGGGAATCTGGACATATTCCCATAGAGTCCTGACTATTCCTAAGCATGCTCAGTTAACAAGTGCATTTCTCAGCATGGTCACCCTTTAAAAGCAAAGACAATTAGGGGCATTCTTACCTCAAAGTCATGAAGGAACATATATAAATTATAAAAATGATAGAAAGAAATGCCTCTGGCAAGGGGTGGAAAATGGAATACTTCCACTCACTATCACCCCAGTGAACAACTAGGAACATTTTGCTTCCTATTTCTACAACTCTAAGTTGTGCAGGCCTAGAAGTTTTGGTTCCAGAGTGGGGAGTGCTCCTATCACACTACAACAAACATTCCACTGAACTGGAAACTCAGACTTCCCTCTGGTCATTTTGGCATCAAGTGCTCTTAAACCAACAGACTATGAAAGGAATAGCTCCATTAGGAAGGGTGATATAACCAGATTACCATGGGGAAATTGGATTTCCTCTCCACAATGGAGGTAAGAAGGATTATGTCTGGAGTGTAAGAGATCCTCTAGGGCATCTCTTGGTGCTACTGTACCCTATCAACAACAATCGAACTCAGGAAGGATGACAAAGGGCACAGACCCATCAGGAATGAAGGTGCAGGTCACTACTCCAGGAAAAGACCCAAGACCTGCTGAAATGCTTATGGAGGGTAGAAGAAATACAGAATGGGTAGAATAGGAAGGTAGTTCCAAATACCATCTAAGGCCACATGACCAGTTGCAGAAATGAGGATTAAAAGTAACATGAGTGCTTCTGTTTTATTTTGTTAATACAATATTTGCACAGATATTTGTATGTTATCTCAATTTCTTATCATATGTTTCAACATCATTAAGAGAATAGTGGTTATCAGATGTAAGTTTTCAATACTAGAAAGATGTGCCCCAAGGGACATTGCCACTATTCCAAATATATAATATATAATGCATTTGCAGTTGTATGTGGGATAGTTATGTTAGATTTAGGTATAATTATGACATGGCTATTGCTTTTCAGTTGGAAATTAATCTTGACATAAGGCAATATGATTATGTGCCAGGTTGACAAGGGGTGGACTGTGATGGCTATTCTTGCTTGTCAGCTTGAGTATACATGGAATGCACTTTTAATTCAGATACGCAGAGCACAGTTGTGATCTGGACCTTGGGGCAAGACAATATAATATGCCTTTGACCTAGATCCTGAATCCGGATGACACACCTTTAATCCAGACCTTGAGGGTGGAAGGCACACCTTTAATCTGGGCCACACTTTCTGCTGAAGGGACAATGGAAGAAGGAAGTAAGGTGGTGTGTTCCTTCTTTGTCTGCTTTCCCTCACCTTGCCAGCACATGCATTCTTTCATTTGCATTGAAGCCTACTTCTTTGGGATTCCACTATACACAAAAACACAGCTGAGACACCCAGTCTCATGGGACTGAACAACTAGTAAATTCTTGGGCATTCCTTTCACAGCTAGCCATTTTTGGACTGCAGCATGTAAGTCATTCCAATAAATTCTCATATATACATATGTATATATGAGAGATTCCATAAGTTCTGTGACTCTAGAGAATACTGGGATTTCCAATCACTTAAATTTCTATACTTTTAGGTCCTAATTTTTAATTTATACTCTAACTACACATCTGAAACACTTTTAGCAAATACCTCAGTACCACATTACATACATTTGCAGAAATAGGGAAAATTTCTTCCCTATTGTATAGAGGCAAGACTATTATAGACAGTGAAACATAGGGTTGGGGGTTGTTTGTGATGAAAACTTTAAAAAACACTATGAGCCATTAGATACTTGGCAAGATTTGGTTATTTGTTTTGATCAAATTAATAGGTACTTGTTACTTAGTGGAAAGCAATTTATTTATTAATTTAATCTTGTAGAAATTCATTCTTTTAATCTACTAAAATTCAAACATTAAGTATATTGACTAAAAATGAAACACCATCATCAAAGCTTCAATAATCAAGGAAGGAGAAAGTAATCTGTCTCCAGCTCTAAAGCCACCATTGTCATTAAAGTACTGAATGATGGGGCTGGAGAGATGGCTCAGTGGTTAAGAGCACTGACTGCTCTTCCAAAGGACCAGAGTTCAATTCTCAGCACCCACATGGTCTGTAGCACTCACCATGGTCTGTAGCTCTAGTTTTAGGGGATCAGACATCTTTACACAGACATACAAGCAGGCAAAACACAAATGCACATAAAATAAAATAAATAATTTTAAAGTACTCCATGAAATTTTACATCATGTTCTAAATGGAGGTATCTTATCCTAGTATCATCCTGACTTAAAATATTTCAAACCTGAAGGTATGAAATTGGAATATTAAAGCAGCTTATCAGTCATTTTTCTCTGTGTCCTGCAGAATGTCTGGCAGACTCTTCCATGAAGCAGGAACCCTTCAGGACTGTCCATCTTCTTTTGCAAGTTCAGCAGTCACTTTCCTGTGGGTTCTGCATGTGCAGTTTATACAGCAAGTGTCAAACAGTCCAGGCAGTAGCAGTTTCTTTCTCAAATGGCTAGTCTTACCACCATATTAAAAGCAACTCCATATTGAGTTTCTTTGATACCCATCTTCCTCTCTGACACAATGGGTGTTGCCAGGAGCAGTTGTGTCTCTGTGTCATGAAAAATTCTAATAAACCATTTTAAATGTCATACTTTGAAGGTCTTAAACAGGTTTGAAGACAATCTGTCCTTCACAAATATATCTTTGTATGTCTAGAAAACCTAACTATGATAACCATGTTTTGACTACTATAGGTAACTATCTATAATCTGTTTCTAGTTATACATTACATTTTTAAATATCTGTATAAAAACAATACCTAAACAAGAGATGAAATATACATATCAGAAAATTGACCTTAAATTTGTATCGATAAACGAAAATCCATATCAATGCAAAGTATTCATTTCTATTTCATATACCCTGCTTTTCACTTAAAAAGAGATTGGCTGTGATCATTAACCACTGTTAACCAACCCCGTTTAAGTGAAAACAAACATTTATAAATAATATTTGGGAATTTGGGCATTGTTTTCCAAACTGCTG